CTTGGCACGTGCGGAAGCTGGTTGAGCTTTTCCTGGAAGACCCTCAGTGTACCTGCCCTTGCTGTGCAATTATACGCTGCAGCATTTGCCTGGGGAAATAAAAGTGCAGGTGCCCTGGTGGGGTAACAGTCCAGTGTCTGCTCACTGTTAAACAGCTGCCCTCTGTAATGACCTCTGTGATGGGCTGCATAACAAAGCAAGGCGTATTATATTATATTATATTATATTATATTATATTATATTATATTATATTATATTATATTAATGTTTGCTTAAAATGCAATCTGTTTGGTATTCTACTTAACTATCAGGTTTTGGTAGGGAGGAGAGAACAGAGACTTTACAAGTGATAAGACAATCAAAGTGTTTTAAACCGAATTAGTATAAAATCATAAACTCTTACACAAGGTCAGATTTTTCCCATCTTGCTCAGCTCTGAGTCACTGGAAAAGGAAACCCTGCACACCCTGAGCCGAGTGGCTGGCTCTAGCCTTTCATTTCCAAAGGGAATTAATCGGAGTAGGCTGCCCTGTTCCAAGACCCGTCAATAATATTCTCAGGCTATAAATGCATTCCTAATGGCAGAACTCCCTCGTGCTTTCTATTCATTGCCTTCCCTGCGTGGTTATAGGTATCAGACCTATAACCTATAGGTATCAGACCATCAGACATGGCTACATGTCTTTCTGCAGTTGTATCTGCAGCTTCCCTCATGTGCAGTGTTGGTGGTGCCCATGCCAGCAGCCGAAGGGTGAGCCTGCAACTGTGGCACCAGCTCCTGCCCATGGGACGACAGAAGGGAGTAGCTGTGCTGGACATGGCTTGGCTTTTTCTTGGTAAGGAAGAGACCAAATCTCAATTCTGATCTCTCACACATTCTGAGGGCTGGTGAGTATCAAAAGTTCTCTCCTCTGCTTATCTTTACCCTGCCAATATGAGGTTTTTCACAAAAGCCAACTGCAAGGGTATTAGTGCAGGTCATGGAGACACGTTGGTCTGTAGGGCCTTCCAGTCCTGAGGGTTTCAGCATATATCTCCTACATTTAAGTGGTAATTCAGTTAAATTCCATTACAAGAGGAATAATCGGCTTTTCTACATGAATGGCTTTATCTCAGAAAGGTTCTGAAGAAAAAAAAAAAACATTTTAAGGCACTGCTTTGATGAAAAACATGCCCATACATCTGCCTGTTATTTTCCCATCAATTGTGACAGCTGCGGTGGGACACATTGGGGTGTGATCCTCACTGAAGCACGGTCACAGTGCTGTGGGAACACCCTATAGCTGCTTCTGCCACCCCAGCACGAGTCTCCAGGGTGCATATTAGGAAGAAGTTGTCTTCCATTTCACAAGCCATGATTACACCCTCAACGTGCTGTTGCTGTCTCCGTCTCCTGGGCCACTGCTCCTGGAGATGCCAGTAGTGTTGTCAAACTATTGAAAATGTTGAGAAGAAAATCCTGCAGATTGAAAAGCAGAGTCCTGCTGGTTTCTCTGAACGTGTGGGTAGCTGGTCTGCGAGGGCTGGCGAGCAGCTGGGCAGGCTCTGAGCCATGGTAGCAGCAGCTCTGTTGGCATCTGGAGGCTGGGACTGGTGGAGAACACTGCAGAGGAGGATGAAGAAGACAAGGAGAGCAAGATGGTGTGTGTGCATGACCACTGCTTGTCCTGGTAGCTGGAGGAGGGGCTGGAGGAGAAAAAGCCCCTTTACTTAAAGCCCCTTTTCACATGTTTTTTCTGCCTCCCCATGCATCCGCAGCTGCTATATACAGCACAAAGTAATGTGCAGCACATATAGGTGTATGGAAGAGAGACAAAGTATTCACACCTGGAGCAGGAGGGGAGCAGATGGTGCTGGGAGAAATCACCTGTGGTTTTGCCAACTGGCACCCTGTGCACTGTCATACCCGAGGAGGGATGGAAGGAGGAGCCAAAAGCTGGGAAGCAGGTTTTAGATACGGTCAGTACAGAGAGTTGTATTCTGGAGAACGGAGTGCGGAAAGAAATTCACTATTGACAAGGTAAATTGTCATAGCTGGTGGGATCTAAAATCACATCCACTTCTGCATTGCTCATCTGGGAATGGAGTGAATCTTGTGTAAGAATATTTCAAGTTACTGAATCTAATCATCTTCAAGGAATCAAGCTATCCCAAGAAGCAGCCCCTTCCCAAAAACCAGCTCCGTGCCTGCTCTGTTGCCCCAGGGCTGATATCCACAATATTTTTTTTTTTTTCTAGCAAGGACTACTTTGATCCATCTGAACTGGTGAACGGCCTTTGCTGTGGGATGATGAACCTGATTAAAGTGACATAGACCCTGTGTATTTTCATCCCATAAGGTAAAAGGCAACTAATTTCCATGAAATGGTAATGGTGCTTACTTTTCCTTGTCACATCATTGCAAATTGTTGCTACTTCCAGGTCAGTGTTTCCTCTCAGGCAGATGCTGAGGATGTCTTCATACTGGAAGATTGTCATCCGCCTTTCCAAACCTTTATTTAATAGGAGCTGTGGTATGAAATTCTGGTGAAATAGTCCTTGAAAAGTAACCACCTGCTTTTTAAGTGGCTGGAAGCACATCGCTGCTGCTCCCATATTTAAAACAAATAGACATATCATGGAGAAAAGCCTATGGTTCAGCTGCACACCGTGAAGTCCCACTGCGACCAAACCCAACACTAAATTTGTCAATTCACACTAATGTTGTTTTTAATTGCTTTCTCAGCAGCTGTGCTCAGAGCCCGCCTAGCACTGGGCACTGCACCTTGTGTTTCATCGCAGCTCCTGCCCAGCACAGCTCGTGATCCCCCCAGGCCGGAGCAAACAGAGACAAATATAATGTTGACAAATACAGTGTTGTCACTGGGGCTGGAGACCAGGACCCTGAACCTGGGCAGTGGAGGAAAGTGCCTTCAACTCAAGATAGTTTTCTGCTAAAATATCAGAGCTATGCAAACCCTTTGGGAAGTTTCCATGATGTAGCCGGACTCAGTGGATGGCTGGGTGAGTAAAACAGCTGCGGTGCCCTTTTTCCTCCAATTTCCAGCTTTCCTGCGAGGTACCATTGCTCCCCAGCCCTGCAGGGAAGATGGGGTGAGCAGGTCTGTAAACCCTTAAGGAATGAACCCCATCTCCTTCATCACCACTGAAGGCAACCTCACCAAAAGCAATCGCTAGTCCTCTCTCAACAGTCTTTTTCAGGTCCTTACCCACATCGCAATTATTCTAATTTCTGCCTATGCCAGCATAACTAATAATTTTCCAAATAGTGTTGTAACAAAAGCTTTATGGAAATGCAGCGCATCAAGTCCCACTACACATTTCTCCCTTCTAGAAAATCACTTACCCAATAGAAACCAAGTCATTAATTTTGGCTACCAGTTTTTAATAAACTCTTGTTCTGTTGGTTTTGCTCACAACAGTCAGAGGCAGCCGCAGCATCTGATGAGCCTGAATTTGTCTCTCCCTTATGCATGTATCTGAGGCATATTCTCCAGCGGCATCCAAAATCAGACGGGGGGAAATGTATATTCTGCTTTCAGCTAATAATTGAGAGACTAAACCTGCCTGGCTGCTATGGACTCAAGGGAAGGACTCGGAAATTGGCTGGGAGCTTCCTTCTCAACTTTTTTCAAAGCAGTTCCTGAATGTTTTATCATAAGAAAATTTGACTGCATATTTATACGGCCACAAAGATACCCAGTTTAAAACTGCAAAATCAATTCACCATCTGCATCAGTTATCTCTTAGCTGTTGTTACTCCAGCTAATCTGGGTGATTCGGTTTTCATCACTTTGCACAGTGAAGACATGAATAAACAACGCCCTGCCCCATCGTCATCAGAGTTTCTCTTAATCATTTGCTCAGTGACACATCATTTGCTCTTACCTAAGGCTTCAGGTGCTTCCAGAATTTAAACCCAGCATAACCAAGTGGACAATACTGTGGTCAGACTGCCCATCTGATATTCAAAACCAGAAGAAAAATCCTCTTCTTTTTAAAAAAACCCCTATGTCATCAGTTAATCAGTAAACTGGAGTAGAAAACACTCAACCTAAACATCACAAAACCAGAGAGTTTCTACTGCTGTTGAATGCAAACCCAAATCCCACTTTGATTCAAGACGTAACCCTGAATTGTAGCTTTGATGCCCAGTTGGTATTCTCTCTCTATTGGTTTTTAGCTTGGTTGGTCTGGCACTCAAGCAGAGCTGCCTCAACACCGCATATTCCTACCATGGAAGCGGGTTCATTTTGCTTTTCTCTCCCTGGGGACTAGCACATGCTTTTCAAAGCTGCACATCATTTTATTAGTTCTATTCCCAGCCTCCAAAACGTCGAGCTTCTTTCATATGGATGCGCTGCAATTTAGTACCATCAGCAAACTCTGCTGAAACAGTGAGAAATACAGACCTAGCAAAGATCCCTGTGGAAACCCACCCGCAGCCCTTCCCCAGTGCTGGCACTTTGCTCTGTATCATCCCTACAACACTTTTAATTCACATCATTTGCCCTCGTTTGTAACCCTCCTCATTCACTGGCTCTGGTTAATGATCTGATTTTGTGTGTTACGTGTT